CCACAGCCTTATCCCAAATCAACTTGGAAGCGTCTTCGGAAAGTAGACATTCCCGAATTCGGTTGTTGGTGATTCCACTAATCAACTGCTGCACTAGCATTACGCCCTCGATTCTATTTTTCGGTATGGTTGGATACTCGCAAGGTCGTACACCGCGGATGAGGCGATCAACGAAACCGTCTAGAGTTTCCGATGATTCCTGTGTAAGTCAGCCGAATTTGAGGCGAGCCATGAAGAGGTTTGTACGCTGGCCCCATGACTTGTCCAGCAACTCTAGTGCTTCCTTTAAGATATCTTGTGACTGGAGCTCCAAAGCATCAAATTGACGTTGTCCCTCATCACGGTGTCTGAGAAGCTTCACTTGCTGGCCTTCCGTATAGTTAGAAGCCGCAGGTAGTAGGTCAAGATAGTTTGTAAACGTTGTTTTCCACTGGGCTCATGCACTTTCCGTAGGACGTAAGAGCGGATCAGACCAATACAGTGAAGGAGGATGTAATTCCATGGCGTAGGTTCGTATGCCAGTGTTGTGTACGAAGGTCAAATGCAAGAGCCGTAATAAGATGGTCACTCCTGATTCTGTAATCTGCTGGATGATTAACTGGGTGCATACATAAGGGTGTCGCAAGGAGAAGGATGAACCAATAGGGAAGCAGAGAATTGGACGCTTTGTGTGTGCCTCTGGGGTTGCGTGCAAGTGTCTGTCTTGGTTAGCCGTCAAGAATGCTGACAGAATATATAACACCGTGGTAGAACTGTTCACAAGCAATTCGAATATCTTGTGATGAGAAATATGGATCCCAATTTGAAGACCTTGATAGATTCGAGAAAATTGACCAATTCACAGAAAATAATGGATGGTAATTGATTCTATCGGTTTAGAAAGCATTTGGAAAGAACAACCAATGATGTTTTGATCGCTACCCTGCAATCTGTCACTTGTGTATGTGGACACATGTGAACACCCCATGGTAAATATTAGATGAAGTGTGTTACCAAACCGAGTAGGCGCTCTGACCTGCTGTATCCATCCCGGTCGACCAAGAGTAGAGATAAAAGTACTGCGCTTTTGTGGTTCTTTGTTAAGGGACCGTGGGGTTTCGCGCATATTAAACTCCTCAATGATTATTTTATTAGTGTATGAGGTTGGTAATAAAAGAAACAGTGTCCATCCAGTCATCGATTATGGTGAGTGCAGACGATGGGTGTGGATAAATGCAACCTACTAAAGGTTTGTTAGATTAATAGAAATGGTATTCCAAACCTGATCAGGAAGTTCCCGTAGGAGTGGTTCATTCAGAGGAAGAACCAGGTATATGTGCATTCGACATAGATTATACAGCCACCACCTCTACCATAAAGGCGGTAATTAGGAAAGATGTTATAACCCAGTATGCCGAGCAAGGTGTCTGACATCTCCGCTGAACACCATGTTTCTGTTATTAGTACTATATCAGGAGAGGAAAGGTGAAGCATGTTACGCAGGAACTGCATTTTATTTAACAATGAACGAGAATTAATTAACAGTAAGCGCAGTGACTTGTTAGCCGTTGGGTTGTCTACAGGAATCCATGTACAGGACCCCAACGAGGTGGTATTTGGAGAGAGTGGAGTGGGGGTGGTGGATACGGAGGACCTATAATTTGCGGAATTAGTGTCATTTGGGGATGTGACGGGTAAACCGCCACTGACCCCCAACAATGTTCGGAAAGGCAAAATACTGGGAAAATGTCGACCCACTGTGAGAATACAGCTTGTTGGCTGTTGCATATAACCTACCTGCCAGTTAAGATTATTCACATGTTGATATAGTTTGCGAGGATTTTGGTTGTGTCAATTTCTCTCATCTAGGTGAATTTCATTAGCAAATGTCTCACAGGTTATGGAGCGCACAGGTTGCATATTCAAATGCTGCATCGTTGGTGATATGCGCATTGTCTGTATGTTTTAAGAGGTGATAGCGTTTGGTGGAACGAATAAAATAGCAGTGTTTTATTGTGCTTAGGAGCACCTGTATAGATGCCACGTGAGATTTTGCTATCAGTGTTCTTTGCAACATGGCTGTTTCGTAGTTTTAGAGACACACAACTTTTTGGAGAGGAGGTTTTCGGTTTCGTACCAGAACGTCTATGCACCTGGTTGGTGAACGACATACAATGAGTAGAATTAGTCGCTTACGCAGTGGAACTTCTATGTATGTTCGGGGACGAGTTGCGCAGTAATGCTGGGCTAACTTGACACTGAGTGGAGTCAGAAGCGATATTTTTACGACAGTTGCTATTTGATCTCAACGGTCTCTCTACTATCGTGGGAAGGAAGCTGAGGTAGCTGGGTCGTGGGCCGCTCCACACTGGATGGAACCACCGTTTGACCCTAGCACGGTCACGAAAACCATTCACCCCATCTTCTCATGTAACGATCAACTGTATCCTCGAGCCAGTGTAATCGAGGTAGCGCTTTTTCGATGGGCACATTGTCAACACCGGTAATATGGTGGTAGGGAAAGCAGGAATCATGGGTAGAAAATAAAACCCCGGAAACTAAGGAAAATGAAAGGTAACGAGGACACCGGGGAGGAAAGTCGATAAAGCAGCTGGGTGCCTACGGAACAAGTCGGAAACCGGCCACGAGTGACAAACGATGTCAGACCCAGGCCGAGAAGAGGGGTGGACATAGTGGTGGACAGCCCGAATTTCCGGAGAATCCCCTTTGGCTGCGCCTCCGGGAATAAGCACGAATCGATCGACGCAACCCCGATTAAGCAAGTCAAGGGCATTAGAACGAATCTAGTTCGGTAAAAAGAAGATGAGCGGAAGTGTAGATAAGTTGGCAAATCGACGAACAGCGACCCTTTGATCGGTTGAAATCGGGGCAAGTATGTGACACCGAGCGAAAGGACAATGTGTGATACGTGGTGGGTTGGAAATGTCCTCCATAAGTTCGAGCCTGCTTGCTAGCCGGTGAACATGTTTTGCGTTGGCAATATCAAGCGGAGACATACCGTTCAATGTAAGGAAACCAAACGCGAATCTTTCACGGAATGTGTAGTAGAATAACAGAAAGACTACTGCGTCGAATCTACTGTGTTAGTTCATTACAAAAAACTGACAACGGAGATGAGCAACAAACTCGAGAAATAGTTGAATATGCGGAAGACTAAAAGGACTAAATAAAGGAAATAATATGTATTAAGTCAGACATAGTGTAATGCGGAAGAAGCGTAAGTACAAGATTCTGTAGCCGAACTACGGGGAGGTAGCATAGTGGAGGCTTAGGAACGACTCTTCGGTTGTCGGCTCCGCTTCCGGCGGCATCAGTCGCGCCTGAGTAACTAGCTACTTGTCAAGGATGTCTGGACGACTGCTGCCGACTCTGGCCTAGTAACGCACGTTATATCCTTGGATTTCGCTAAAACCCTCGACAAAGTCGACCACAACATTATACTACACAAACTGATATCTTCCGACTTATCAGGAACCTTGATGGACTGGATCCAAACTACCTCCAAAACCGTACCGTCCAAGTACGCGGCAACGGAGAGTCGTCTCCCACATCCTTACGACTAGTAGAGTTCAACGGCTTCACTGTCTGCGCCATTACTCGCTAAAATACCAACGTCTCCGGGGCGACTTGATTGTTGTATTTACGATTTTATCCAACCCTGGACATCTAAACCACCACCTAATCACACTGCGCCAATCGTGTTACAAACTGCGTGGCCACCCACTGAGGTTTATACTTCAGCACAGTCGGCTAGACTGCAGATGACACTTCTTCGCTTTGCGAATCTGCCGACCATAGAATACTCTGCCTGACGACCTAGTCTCGGCACCAAGTGTGGCTGAATTTAAGACACTCTTGGACTGTGATCCTACCGAGCTACATCGCGACCTTTGCTGAGACTACTACATTCTACTCCGTTTCATATAACACATCAGCCCCAGTCACATCCCAGCTGTCTCCGACCTGACGCAGAAGCTTGTTCCAACCCACCACTCCTCGATAGATACATTGATGACGATGTTCCTTTTCATTTTTCCTGCACCTAATTCCTTTCCATAGCCATTTCAGAGGGCGTGGGAGATGTCACACTTTAGGCCGGTGTGCATTCTGTTAAAGTGCTACAAAAACCTGTCGAAGGTACGGCTAACACGCGAGTCCGACCGGCAGTAATGTTGTTTGGCCTTTCCTCAGACCAGACGTTAACATGCTTTACCCCATGGGTCATGAAAAGCTCTAGCATTTATTCCCATTGAATACAACATACTAATGTTCTAACATCAACCTCAGCAGGTAGCAGTGTCTTTACTGCTGACCATTTATTACGTTGCCACATAAAACTTGGTGACCTAGGCGAAAGCGTAGACTTCAGCTGAAGGTCGATTACGCTCGCGCGATTTTGAAGACTGAAGGTCACTTGAAGGTTGTGAGGAAAAGCAGCGCATTCTATTGGCCACAGGTGTTGGGTCAAGGTCAGACTGATCGTATCGCCGCGTTGTTTACTGGTGGGTGGGCAGCCAATCAGCAACAGTGTCTGGAATCCTCCTACGCCATGCTGTTTATGGTCATATTAAACTGAAGCTCGCTGGCTAGCCAAACCGTGAAGTGGATTTCCCTCGACTGTGACTTAGTGACTCTGCTGAGATGGACAGCGATCCGCAGGAACGGGTTATTCCCATTGCCACCGATTCTCGCACATTCGAACAAAAGAAAAAAGATTTGATGACAGATCTGAACAAGAATAATCGTCAAGAGGCGAAAGCGCCTAAAGCGGTTTCCCCAAAGAGGCTAAATGAGGCCAACGGTCAACTCAGGCGCCGTGACTGGGCCGATGAGATTGACCACTGGCTGGGTGGGACGTACAAACGCTGGAATGATTATATGCGTCGCATGGAGAGGGATATGTTTTCCTTGGTGGTGAGTTTACTTCCTGCATGACATTTCCTATCTTGTGTCTGGTGCGTATTTTCGTACACTGAAGCCATGTATATTGTGCATTTAAGCCCGCCACTGCTTTCGACTTGGAGCCGTTTGTTCCACTGGGGTCGTTCGGTCACATCCCTTCAATACTTCAACGCATGGAACGACAGTTAGAAGCTGCGAATCGTCATTTGGACAACTTCCCCATGCTGACTGAGGATGGGGAATGGGGCTCGATCGTTCCGTCATACGCGCGCACAGATGGCCCACTCGACTTCCTTAAGGACGCGTACGAAGTTGGTGAGGATGGGAAGGTGGGTGTAAACATGCCAACGTTATCTACTGTTTTCTCGTAGTTACATTTCAAAGTAAAGTTTAATGTGAAAGGATTCGGACCGAAAGATATCAAGGTGTCGACGTCAAAGAACCGGCTTACTGTGCACGGAAAGAAGAGCAGTAAAACGAATTCTTCTTCTAGCTCTTCTGAGTTCTGCCGCACAATCTACTTACCGGAACCGGTGGATGAGGGTCGGTTTCAGTGCAACTTAACGTCGGTGAGTTGCTGCTTCGTGATTTGTGCTCCCGTAAGAACTCTGTTTGAATTTAATGAAATGACCATTCATTATGCGGTATATTTTTCATCAATTCCTATAGGACGGTATCCTGATGATAGAAGCTCCTGTGAAGAAGCCAGACTACGAATCGTTAACTTTTAATCACGAGCCTCAGCTGGCAGTCAAGCCAAGCACGGACAAATCATTGGCTTTGCAAGTTACCGGTGAGCGATCTTTGTTACCGCTTTTTTGTTTGCTGCTATCTCGCACTTTTAGTGTATGACCTCGGTACACCTTTGCGTGGTCTTTTTGTACAAGCTTATTCGTGTATATTTGTTGTGGCTAGGTGTTCCTGGACCGACAGTGCTGAAGGATGGCGCTACGGGACAGAAATTACATGTCGAGGTCCCGATCGAACCCGGTTTCACAGCGGACGACTTGAATGTGCGTATCGACGCGAACCGTGTTGTAGTGTCCGGAAGAAAGCATGTGGTAGAAGAATCCGGTTCGTCCCATTGCAGCCACACAAAGGAGTTCCATCGGGCATATACGATTCCGGAGACGGTGGATCCGCTGTCTGTGGTTACACAGCTTCAGGGTGAAACATTGGTCGTGGAGGCTCCGATGGTGAAGTCGACGTAGCTGCGGTCTTGCACGTGTACTCTTCACCCCAATTTTTGTGGTACCAGTGCGCCTCTCCCTCAATATATTATTAATCCATAAACTCCATATTTATTCTGATTTAGCTTACTAACTTATCTGCCGGATTCTGCGCACCCTCTATCCGCTTGTACAAGTTTTGACTGGCCGTGCAGGCAATCACGCGGTGTGCACCTGCCATATGTATCGTTCGTGGGCCTGACGGAAAGATGGTGCTACGAGCTGGTCGATGTGTATATTCTTAGTGTCTGTGGATTCGTGCAGCTTTGGAGCACTTTCGATATTGTATGAAAAACGTCCGTATTACACCGTCTAGTTGATAATGGCATAACTAACATTCATTGAAGACCATTTGTGCTTGTTCCGCTGTCAAATGCTTTGCATGTTCTGTGCCTACGTCGACGTCTAGCAGGCATGGTAACCTCGGTATGGACAACGGGTTCTTCTAGGTTTGTGACTGATGAAGGTCTTTTGGGAGACGACTATAAGTTGACTGATCTGTAGCCTGCGTACCGTCCTTCGTAACACAGTCACATTGACGGGTCGCACCACAGTTCTGTTTATCATCAAGTGAAGTTGCGCTGACAGGCTGCACGTAACAGTGTGACTGCGACGTCTTCGCGTCAGTCGAGAAGACATTATCAGTGCAGGACACTTTTAACAGATACTGGCGGAAAGCAAATCCGGAGATGGATATTGCCAACCACTATACTGGTGAGGAGACGTCTGCAATCAGATTGTCCATCATTAAGCAACTCAACCAGAGCACAACTCCCATTTCCTTATCGAATTGTCACTTTTTAACGTGTTATAGCAACACTCGTGGACCAGCCACATCACTCCGACTGGTAGCGAAACCACTGCAATCAAATTGCCAAGCTCAGCGAACAACTGAGAATACCAGTTCTCTCTCGTTTCACAAGCGCTGTTTTGCTTTTCGTTTGAAAATTGGATAATATATGCTAATTTAGGACAAGTTGAATCCGCTGGTATCGGTTGTTGGCTATAACATTCAACGTTCCTAATCACTGGGAGTCAGAGTCGCTTTGTCCCCAGCTTGGAATGCGAGCTGGACCGAATGATGCTAATCTCGAGGTTACCTTCTTCACGTCATGGTTGTCCACCGCATGGATTCTTTCGGTCATTTCCGGTGAGCACGATTAATGCTCGGCGGGGAAGACCATAGGCTGACATGAGCGATACTTGGCCGAGCCAAGGCACACGGTGTCGCTTTGGAATCGGGTACTGCTCACCACAAGCACTCGGTCATTAAGTTCGTTTACTTTCGTCATATTGCCACCATACGCGAGCGATCCTTTACAGGTAACGGCAGTCAAAACTGCTAATATTTTCATATCTTCCGAGCGAACAGACCAATTCCGGCAGCAGTACAAGGGGACCGCACGGACGGAGGCATTGTATACCCCACCCTTGTGGTTGAGACTGATATCGCGAAAACGCCATAGGTGTTTCAGTTGGATGAATATAAGGCCTCTGCGATCCGTTTTGATACATCATCTCAATAACAACCATCAAATGTAATACAACCCTACGCAAATGATGCAGAGGCTGGTTCCAGTGTGTCACACATAATGTGCTCGGACACAGGCATGTACAAATCCTGGAATAGTTCTTTCCACTTGGCTGGGTTGAAGTACAGACCACATTTAGATTCCCCCCTCGCTATGCGGCTTGGGTACTTTGGACGAATAGTGGCTTGTCTCTCAGCAAAGTGATATCATCGACGTAATATAAGTCCGCCACTCTATCCTCAGGCAGAGCACAATATCCTAGTTATGAACACGTTCTAATACTAGTTGGAAGACAAAATCGAAGATACAATCGAATAGGAAATTTACAGTAAAGCGAACTAGGCGAACGACACTGGGTACGTCAAACCCCAACCTTGCCCGACGTGTGAGTGTACCCTACGTTTAGCATGGTTAAAAACTTGGTTGGCACCTATTGGTACACAATTCTACGAAACCGATCCATCTACCTAATCTAATCCAACCCAGATGTCCAGTAACACTAAAACTTTCGGTCGATAGTGGACGTGGGGAAATTGGAGAACGCGACGAAACGTGAAGATTTGGTCGGTGCTATTCCGGTCTGAACTGAAAGCGACTTATTACTCTGGGGAAATTCCTGTCTGGTTAACTGAAGGCCTGCCAACTAAGATGGCTACGCAAATCCTGGACTCAACAGAGATGGACGAAATTCCACGGTAACCAGCACGACCTTCACCTGAGTTTTCTTGTGGATCGGGGCAGAGACAAATTTTAACGAAGTGTTGGGAACCATCCCGTCAGTTTAAGACTTCGTGAACGGTGATAAGATTTAGCTGACAGTAAGATTCGTGGCAGTGCTGTCAGGGACGGGAGGTTTATGACTTTCAGAGATGGGATTGCACTGCAGATCCCTGCCTGGTAGGAATATTTGTGGGGACGGCCCAAGCACACCATCCGATGAACAGTAAAGTGATCTGACCAGCGATTAAAGCGCCTGCGTAGTTTCGTGTATTACATGTCGTCTATCTCACAAACTGTCAGACTGCGGGCATGTGATTTTCAATCGGTGTCGTTGATGATGCAGGACAAACGGTGGCTCCCATCCCAGAATTTCGTCTTGACTACGAATATTCATGGCCACCTAGTAGTTTGTCCAGTATGTCAGTCTGAATATACAATTGGGCACTGATCTTAAACTTTGAGCACATTATACCATCGAATTGTTTACGCGCATAGTAACAGTTGAGCTGAACTGCCAAAATGCGTGAGTTTGGTCAGTTGACCGGAATGTGAGACTTGTTCTGATTTCTAGTCGATTCAGCACATAGGCTCCACGATCCCATACAAATAGTCAAGCGCACATGCTCGCCTATCTACCGATTCAGAGGGCACTAGGTAAGGCCGGATAATCACTGACATGGTGAGAGCTGTGTCGTTTCCTTTCTAACAAACCATACGTACAGTAGCTGAACGGACTGCATATCAAATACTGGTCTACGAATCGTGATTAACAAAGGGATGAGAAGGAAAGCCATTTGTTAAGTAGGGCCCTTAGCAGAGGAACGGGACAGAACGCGCACGCATAGTATGGAACCGATTTACTGAAAGCATCCTGAGTTACAGTGGCTAGAAAAGCCGGAAAGGAAAACCAATGAACTAAGAAAAGTAAGGCAAACTCATTCCCAACCAATCATGAGAGGGCCTGTGTTTACGAATCGATACTCAAGTGCGTAGGTGACACTCCTCTCTTTCCTGGTCAAAACTACAGACTCCGGGTTGATACCGATCAATTGGCTTAGGCGTGCGTTTTGAGCGTCTTAATTCTGGTTGTACCGCATCCTTCTGTGGTTCCTGGTTTTGTGAAGCAGATTCTCCGTCCCTGCTTGGGTCAGTAGCAGTCGCTTTTTGATCCCGCTCCTGTGGTTCGTTTAAGCGTGGCCGGATATGGTCAAAATGGCGAGGCACCACACGACCGTCTTCAAGCTGTAGCTTCGCTTAGTTACTCGTTGAGGACATGAGTGTAGCAGGTTGCCAGCTTGATTCGTAAGGCAGTCTTGTATATACCGGATCAAAATCATTAAAACACATTTTCTCTGGCATCTTTTCGTCCACACACATTTTCTCCTGCTTTTCCTCCATTCTCCTTCAAGGGTTTGTAATAGGTAGGTGCGTTCTCATTCGTAGTGGCTGACCAAACAGTAATCCCACGCGTGACTTCCCTTTGGACTCGAAAGAGATCGACCTCAGTCACGCGTACTCAAATTGAGTTAAACGAGACCTCTCGTTCATGCACTGCGATAAGTACCACATAGGTCTATTCCAACACAAAGACCTGCCGTTCATAATCAGTTCAGCTCCAGCCATATGCAAAAGTAGCATTGATAACCTGATCAAATATATTCATTTTCCTTGCGCCTATCTTGACCAAATCCTAAGTACAGGACGTACAGATGCTGAACGTTTACAAACGCTATCCACTGTGCTCGAATGTCTACAACACAGTGGACTCAAACTCAAGAAGTCCAAGCGTACATTTTCCTCAAATGCTTTTCGTTACCTTGATTACCGTCTCGATTTTACCGGATTACACTTGTTAGAAGATAAGGTAAATACCATCACTGTCCCACCTGAAGCGCAGAACGAAGCTGAACCTCGATCGTCTTTAGGGATGTCTTCTCACTATCGTTGCTGCTTACCTAATGCCTCAACAGTATTTTTACCCTTGTACCAACTGGTGCACAAGGTAAAGTTCTGCACTTGAGGACCGGATCAAAGAAGATCCTTCGCAGATGTAAAATGGTGCTCAGCGCCTCCCCGTAGCTGGTGCATTTCGATCCGAGCCGGCCTCGCGCTGCAGTGTGACGCTTCCCCACGCGGAGTGGGCCACCGGATGGATGACGGTTCTCTTCGTCCAATCGCTTTTGCTTCTCGTACACTGCAACTCGCTTAAAGAACTTACTTCCAAATGGACAGAGAGTGCTTAGCGATTATTTTCGTTGTCAAGCATTTCCACCAGTACGTTTGGGGAAGAGAGTTCGTTAACCACACCGACCACACACCAGTTCTTTCGCTTCTGGGTGAGGAGAAGCGTATCCAACAGATGTCTTAGCCTCGAACGCAAAGGGGGACACGAGTTTTGAGCGTCAATAGTTATAAACTCCAGTATGTAAACGGGTCAAGTAATATCACCACGGATGCATTTAGTCGCCTCTCGCAGCCGCATTGCACAGAAAGAATAGTGAACCCAGGGAATTTATCAAATAGATGAATATCTTAAAAAATCACCACTAAGTGTGACGTGTTGCGAAGCCTTTCAGACCGGACCCTGTGTTGTCCATGGTGGAACGGTTCTTGATGACCGCATGGTCTACAAGCTACTCAGACGAACTGAAACTATTCGCCTGTCGGAACAAGGGATCAATGGTTTATTACGGGTAAAAAAGCATCGCTTAACAAGTCCCGTGGAATGGAAATTATTGCGAAAATCAATTGCATGATACAGTGAAGAGCGTCGTGGTGAACTCACCATAGATCTATGTGGAATAGCTGA